CTTACTGAAATAATAATATATCCACGTACCAAGCAGTAATGTAAAAACTATGTCGGCACTTTTTCTTAACCATTAAAGGGCCATATCATTTTGTTTGTCGAATAACTCGGTCAGGCATGAAACACGGGTATTTTGGACCCTCGCTAGCGGGTCAATAGCCTTACGGGTAACCAAGGCTTTTACTATAATCTGTTGAATGGTTGGAAATTGTTCCAACTTTTAAAAAACAAAAATAAAACAGATGTTCAGAGTAAGATGGATTATCACTTGGCGATAATGATTTAATGATAATGAGTGACGGAGTAGATTGCCTCGTTGGCCGAGAGGTCGCAAGTGCGACTGCCGGTCAAGAGGTCTCGGATTCGATTCCTGGGTCCTGCAAAGTATCACTGGGTTTAAAAAAATCCATTAGTAGCACGGAGTCTGGAATTGTGCCCGGTATATGGTAACAGACTCACCCCACTTGTAACATAAATAGTGAAAAGTGGGTATTACGTTGTTCTATCGCATTAAGTGCTGTAATGTGCACCTCTGCCTTTTAGGAGTAAAAGGCGTGATGTTATGTAAATGTAGAATGCAAATGTCAGTCTAGATTTAAAATTAAGTCAGGATAGTTTGGAATAATTTACCTTAACGTTGCCAAAAGTATAAGACTTTCCTTAAGCTTGTCTAGTCACCTTGATATTGAGACAATCTAAGTAAAAGAACATTTTGGGATTCCAGGTCTTAAACAACAAAAAAAGCAACATTAGGTACTTACTTTTCTTTATTTACCCTGCCCTAGCATTTTCTCGTGTGTCGTAGGTGCGTTTACAAACATACAAGTTCACATACACATGACACCTATACCTATACCCGAAACAACAATTTATGGAACACATAAAGAGTTGCTCCGTGCGGGAATCGAACCCGCTGCACGTTGCGCAGCAGCCAATTACTCAGCCACCACGACCATCGTACAGTCTAATGCTTTAACTACTGAACTAAAAAAATGACACCTTTATTGGCCCTTATGGTGGTGTTACCCGTCAACGAGGATCTTCGCTTATTTATGTATCGAAACATATTTTACCTACGAACATAATTCAAAATTTACTAGCAAGCTCAATATTTTACCTAATATGTTCCCGGGGATACAGAAATGACGTTATCAAGTAACCCACGCATGATATAAAACCTTCACCGTCTGATTTACGTCCAGTGCTCCCGACAGGTGGCGCACCTTTCCTAGACCCCTAATGTATGTTTAGAATTTATAATTAATTCTAAACTTTTAGTACCTACATGATCATTTGCTACTACGATAAATAATACGAAATTAATTATTGTTTTGTAAACTTTCTGATTGTGTGGATAGAAGTGCTGTACCTATCTGTGTATGGAAAAATGACAGCATTAGCAGAGGCATCAATATTAACCACAATTTTAAGATATAGTGTCTCGATGAAATTACTTTTTCACCAGTATTAGGTACATCATAAAACTTGACTGACTTGATGACATACGGAACCGAAACCCCAATTACTCTCCCCAATCAACCCAATCCCCGAAACCCTAACAATCCTCAATCCCCGAAAATGCCGACAACGCACTTGTAACGCCTCTAGTGTTCCGGGTGTCCATGGGCGGTGCCGATTACCTACTTACCATCAGGTGATCCGTCTGCTCGTTTACCGGCTTTACCCATCAAAAAAATCATTACCTATATTTCAGTTAAAATGGAATGGAACTTTCCATTACTTATGGAAAATTTCACTTTATTATCTTCCTAACAGTTTATCTCTTAGCTTGAGTCAGAAGTTTATATTTCCTTTACTAGGAAAACAATCCCTTATTATACTATCCCTAGGAAATTGATTCCTTTCCTTTTAGTTTTAAAGGTCAAAGTGCATCAACTTATGTTTGTCAATGTAACACAAACCTAACGAGACAAGAACAATAGAGAGTACATTGTTGAGACTGTTTAAGCGGCATTGGTTTTCACACAAATCAAGTAAAAAATCATGGAAACTATTGAACTGATTTTAATGTTTGTTCTTAAATCAAAGTCTAAAAAGTTATTTACGAACATTTTCGAAATTATTTGAGAAGTTCAAGTTATACCTAGTAATTTTAAAGAAAACATATTTTGTAACAACTCCTGTAACATCTACACTTGACCTATATTCGCAATAAAGGATTTGAATTTGAATAATTGCACAACTTTTAGTATACTGTTCAATCCCCAACCGGTCACCGGTGACCGCTATCCGCTAACCACATTAAAGACTTCATTGTCGATGTTTAGAAACTATTCTGTATGATGAAATATTCGGTAGGATATAACAACGGTAATTTTTAATTTCCATGAAAACATCTATGTCTCTCTAAACTTCTTTCGAAAATATTCATAAGGATGTTTTTAAACCAAGTTTATTAAAATCGGTGTAGTAGTGATTTTTTACTTGAAAGTTTTTAAGAAAACTTGTACTGCGTAAACCCTCTAAAAGGTTGAGTTAAAACATCAGCTTGCATATCAATACGAGATAATTATGATAAGGTCATCACCCCCAGAGGGCCGGAACCTCTTTGTTTTTGTCGAGGGTGATCACCCGGTACAGTTCAATGTGATTTGCATTATATTTATAGAATTTTTAATTAGATATGTGATATTTTTCGGAGCCTATTTTTGCGGTTTTATAAAAATAAAATAGCTGTATTTGGTTTCGTAATGATGGACTTTGGTTTTAATTAGAAAAAATATGGGTTACCTACATATTAATGGACTTTTCAGTATTATTTGTCATTAAAATAATTTGCACTTTGATATATTTATCTATCAAAATTTTAATTTCTATTTTACGGTATAACACGTAAATAAAAATAAATGTAGATGAACATTTTTTTTTTATGGCATAAGCCGGTAAACGAGCAAACGGATCACCTGATGGTAAGCAATCGGCGTCGCCCATGGACACCTGGAACACCAGAGGTGTTACAAGTGCGTTACCGGCCTTTTGGGGATTAGGAGTTTGAGAATCGTTGGAGATTCAGGAATTGGGGAGATTGGGGAAGGGGAGGGTAATTGGGCCTCCGGTAACCTCACTCACCCGACGAAACACAACGCAAGCGTTGCTTCACGTCGGTTTTCTGTGAGGCCGTGGTAACACTCCGGTCGAGCCGGCCCATTCGTGCCGAAGCATGGCTCTCCCACACTTAAAACACTTATTTTTATTTATTTACTTAAATGTACCTAGTTCCATTTGTGAATAAATTGTGCAAGCGATGTAACTAATTCACACTAATCAATTACCATCTATCGTGAATAACGGATTTATAAATTAAAAGCGCCAATAAAATTTTAGTTAACTATAATTTATATTCAGTGCTAGTTCACCGTAGTTTAGTAATTACAGGGTCGTACTTGCTTTAACCAAGGCAACAATATAAGTCAACAACATCTACATATTTGTTAGACATATAGTTCAAACCCGAAAAACATCCTAAATCACTACCCATAACATAATTGTAATTACGGAAACTGAACTTTAATTCCAAAGTTATAATGTTTTTGCCGATCCATTATTATCAATTTATAATGTAAACGACCATAACGCTCTGAGCTCGAGTGGTAATTACTTGGAGTACTTGTGAAAACAAAGATGTCGAATGCTGGCATTGGTGGCCCTTATTTAAACTTGTACTTGGGGTTAACGACTCAAGTGACTTTATTAAAATCGACGATGGCCTACCAAGAGACGGATTTAACTGGTTTTTTAAGTTCCTAGAGTGCTTTCGGTTTTTTTCATTGTGGAACGCTTTATTTTCATGATAAGTATGGCTAAGTGGATTGGTTGCATTTTACTTTCTTCTTGTACAGGCCTATCTGCATCGCCTAGGCTAGTACCTATATACACAAGAGGTAGTCCTCTTCTATATCCCAATCAATATACCTAAGTAAAATTAGGGGCATTATTATACTTGAAATCAAAACCATGTCAATTACTTCATTTCATAATATTATATTTATAAAAAAAACTTTTAACTTAATTTACAGTTACTATACTTTGAATACATACCATTTTAGTTTTATATCATCAAAATATTACTAAAACTCAGATCCTAGCAAAACACAATCTCATTTGTCAACTACATGAAATGCATTCTTCTACCCAAGTCCAACCCTGGCTACCAGTGACAATTGATACGCGAATGTTCCGTAAAGGACAATGACCTGCGTGACGTTACCCCAAAACGTTATGATGGATGGCTCAGGGGTAATTCCGAATCGTTGTGAATTCAATCGGAAACAGACAACGAAAGCACGGCTCATAAGTATCGAGACAATTATCTTTTTGTCCGTTTTTCTTCTTCTTGCGTTTTTATAGGCGTGACATTGTCTTCTCTATGTCATCATTTCTAGTTCATATAAGGGGATGAATTAATCAAAATAAGAATGGAGTTTTGAATAGAATAATTATTTTATTTGTATGTAGAATTACAATAATTACTAATGAATCAAAATAACATAAGGATAATACAAAAAAATGCATTGGTACAGTAGCATTTTGTACGCTTAAGTCAGTACTAATCTCTAAATTAACTTGGTAATAAGTATAGCTCCTAAAGGTAGTTCTAAGTTACTCTACCACACATATCTTAACCTAATTATTAACACCTACATCGTTATACTTAATACGAAACACCTAACTAGGGTAACATCGTAAACAAAACAGTTGTGGCGAGCGTTTGCAGACGACATTCCAAGATGGCGGCGTGTCCGGTAACAGATAGTAGGGGCACGTGGCCGTATCACCGCGCTATTTCCTTTGGGGGTCTAAACAGGGTTGACCCCCAACCGACCCGGTTATTACTGTCTTAATACTGAATACCTTGGCCTAGGTCAGTTATATTGATGTCCTACTTATTCTATATTAGCTAGATATAGTTATGGTTTTTTATGTTTGGTTATTATATTATATTAATATTAAAATTAAAAGAAATTTATTCGGTGGCAAGTGCATAAAATTAAGAAATTAAAGATTCACTAATAATAACAATGCTATTGAAGTAGATAAGTATGCAGGTATTGTAAGTGACATTATGAGACTAATAAAATGCTTTTATGATAAGGTAATAGTAAAACAGGTTGATTAGAAAACCAAAATTTTACGAGTACCTACTTTTTACTTATTTTTTAAATGCGTAGAACATTTCAATTCATTGCGCGCTTCACTTAATTTTGTGAAATGTTTTACTTTTTTTAAGAAAATCAGTAATTACCTAATGACGTAATTTCTAATGTAGGTAATAGGTACAGATTGTCCCTGATACTGTTTAGTAACAAAACTATGAATGTGTTCATCTTATAAATTAGAAAAGCGTCATGAATTATTTATTATTTACAATGTTAAATACGTCTTAATAAATATAATTACTTTATACATCTTTATCCTCAACTATTAATTTTTTTGTTGTTTGACCTGTATTTGATTTCACTCCCATTATTTGGTCATTTATTTGTTGTAGTGTCTTGTCCTTAGTTTCAGGTAAGTACTTATACAAAGTCACTATTGTGATAACAGAAAAAATAGCAAACGTAAGACATGTTCCGTGAACACCAAAATTTTTAAATATTGTTGGAGCCAATTTTAGCGACAATCCAGTAATTAGTTTTCCAAACAGCGCAATGATACATACTGATAAATTTCTAGATCTGATAGGAATCAACTCCCCATACACTGAAATTGATACAGACAAGGGCCCACAACTGACTGCAATAGTGAAAGCAATGAATAATGTAATTGTAAGGTACTGGTTTTCTGGAATCAGATGCAATTTAATACAGTATAAGTAAATAGACAAAATAAATAGAAACACAGCCCCTATAGTAGAAGCTCCTAATAACAAAGTGCGTCTCTTCAAATATTTTGCTAGAGCACACCCTGCATACATGCTGACTACAGTAAACCCATCTATGATCAACATTGCAATATAAGCCGTGGACTCGTTATTTGTAACTTTCTTTAAAATATCTACAGCATAGAAAGCAAATATCATTTTTCCAGAGCAGAATGATAGAAGGCCTGTCAATATAGACAATGCAGTAGGTTTACAAAATCCCTTTGATGTGATTATTTTAAAGAAGCCAGTGATGTGTTTTGTTACTGGCTGTTTATTAGCTAAGGAACTAGCAAGATATTGCCTTTGAGAATTAATCAGCACTTCTAGTTCCTTCTCAGATTCTTCGTCACAACCTTTTAGTGATCTGTGTGCGGCGGCACATTCTTCGAACCGTCCTCTACTGGCCAACCAGTATGGAGATTCCGGCCAGATCATTAATGTTAAAAGAGTGTACATTGAACATCCTATACCAAACAATGGAATATTTTTCCAGTGGAAAAATGTTCCTATAGTATTTGAAGCCCAAACTCCCCAGTAGAACGTAGCAGTTTTGGCTGTGAGAAATATTCCTCTGTACTTTGGTGAAATGTATTCAGTCATAATCATTATCGTGATGGTGGTATGCGAGGCGCAGAACAATCCTTGCATGATTTGACTGATCAGTATGTGTGTAACGGTGGTGCTGCAGTAGAGGACGATGAAGGCGGCAAGGGAGTCCAGGACTGCGATGACGAAGGGTATCTTCCTGCCGACGAATTTGGTGAGTATCGAGAGAATCAGGACAAAAGGAAACCCGCTAAAGCTAAACGCAGAAGCTGTGAAATAAAAAATGAACATAGTTTTTATTCATAAATAATCTAAGTCAAATCATTACGTTATTTAATTTACCTCAGTAAAGTCAAGGTAATGTTCACAATAAGCAAGAATATTTATAATATGCTGAACTTACTCAACCAAGAAGCCATGTTAGTAGTGATTACTTCAGTGTTATTGGCCTCTCGTCTGATCTGAGGGATGAAGACAGTGGGTGCACTCACGGACAGTCCATACAGAAACACAGACATCCATACTCCACTGCATATTAACAGCTGAAATGTTGAACGTACATTTGATTTATTTTAATATTTTTGAAGTGAGATGGGTTCTTGGAGATTATTTTTTGTCAGTTATTAGTAGGCATGGGATTTGTGCTCGGTTTATGGTAATTATGTTATATTAGATTCATCCGCTCTTACACAGTATTTTAAGAATAACTGCCGGAAAATTACGTCACGATGTTGACACGTTAAACGCCTTGGGGGTCACCGGTGACCGGCGTTAGCGGAGTATTTACCTTCAACAGTTTTTTATTGGCAGTCAAAGTCTTAAATAACAAACATTTCTGTTAGTTCTAAATTAAAAAGATTTACATTAAGTGATGACATTTTCTTCTACATAACAGCAGAGAAGAAGAATTTTTAAAGTTAACAATACAACAGAAATGTTTTTCAGACAGCCAAAACATTTGTAAGAATATGAAAGGCAAGAAAATTAGTCATCTATTGAAAAAAATACATTACTGTTACAAGTTTAGACAAAACTTGTTATGAGCTTTATGATAATAAATGGTCACTATGTTAATGGTGACAATTTTCTACGTAAACAAAGTCCGCTAGCATATAAAACCAGATTTATCGAAAATAAGAAAGGAAGGATATAAGATTTACATGAAATAATCATTAGTTCACTATATCAGTAAGAAATCAGTGGTTAAAACGAATAATAATTAATTTAACAGACACAGAGATAAAGATACATAATATTATAATTAATTTCAGATGTACTTTGTCAATGAAAATGGTAAAGACAATAGTTATGAACTATCACACAAACTTCATTATTAGTAGATACAGATATTCCTTCCTAGAATTCCGTCTTATTCTGAATGGCCGGTATTTACTGGATTTTACTAAATCTGCTTTGATGGGACAATATGAGATCAAGGACGTATGCTGGAACTTAAATCATTTCCAAATCAAAATCACATAAGCATCTTCTTAAACATGCGAAATGCCAAAACGTCTTAGGTCTAAAGGATATTCTTAAATTTTCATCGGGGCTACGAAGCTTCTCTAGAAAGCGTAGTAGTAAAATGAAATGAAAATTGTTTAAAAATAAACGTACAATTACCTATTATTTATTTTAAATTAAAATTCGTCAAAGGGAAATCAATAGATTGCGGTGTCTCAAAATCTACAACAATTATTTCTACCTGGAAACTCTGACACTGATCTGATCAGTCTTCGCATATCCTATAGAAAATGCTGACTGTTGAAACTTGCTGATTGTATGGTAAAAGGAATAGTGATCGTGTAAAATGTAAATACATTTACAAGTTATTAAATAATAAACTTTTACAGTATAAGCAATAATATATTTGCTTTTATTTACCTGTTTCAGAAACGGTTTCCAATCCGAGCGTCCTTTCAATTTATTAAACCGTTCATTGTCATTTGGAATCTCTTTATAATTGCACTTATCCATAATTGAGTAATTATTGTCTCTAATCTCACACAGGTAGAAGAACACACTGTTATGTCAAATTGACTGTAATATGTCCACTGACTCCTGACTGATTGAAAGACTGGTAAGATCTAATACATAGGTAGTAGTAGTGTAGGTATATTTTAAGTGACAAACATTTAAATGATATTAACTGGTTTACAAGGAACCTGTTCGGCTATTATTTTAATTTTAAATAAATACTTATTTATGGAAATCGGGCACGTAGTGACCTAATGTTTGCGGAGACCAGTTGGATATTTTAAAAAACGATAGATCGTGGGACAATTTCTTATTTAGTGTTTTAGTTGAGTTTTCATAAATATCTGTTAGTGAAACAGGTTTATGAGACTTACTGAAAATAGTGAAACTGGTCTGAAAAGTTTTTAACTCGATGTTATAACCAAGGTGTAGACGTTTTGTATAGTAGTTATGACAATTACGGTAAATTAATCTTTATCGTTGCTATGCACACGAATATTAAAAAAATATATCTACGTTGGTATGTTATTCTAAACATAACATTGTAACAACGACGTCACTCTTTGAAAAAAGGTCATCTATCTTATAAATCCGAATTAAAACCCTGTGCAGCATGATTGGTCAAAGAAAAGAAAACGTACCTACTAAAAAAAATAAAAACAAATACTTAAAAAGTTCGTTTTAAAGTGCAGAATTCTGGGAATGAATAAATAAACAGTGAAATGTTTAATATTCACTGATTACACGTGCTTTAAGGTGGAATACAGTGTGGGAGGTGACGGCTTCGGATTAGCATGCAAATCTTGTCTAGGGGAGTGACCTGATGCTCATAATAATGAATTATACTGGTCTATTATTGATATTTCTTTTGATGAAGATAGAAGGAAAACTTTTTCACACTTCATCATCGCTTATTTAGATTTTTTAGGAACTTAATTATAATAAATTATTCTATAAATAGGAATATTTGGAAATTACTTTGTCGTAAGTATTGCATAAGATTGGTACTCATATCAATGGGACAATATCTGAGCCGGTATCAAAGTTCAGCAGTGGACCTATAACATTATACGTTAGTATTGGGTTTTTTTTAACGGGGGAAAATCATCGAATGACTGCTCCCGCCTGGGTGAGGTGGAAGGGAGTGTCAGACTCTTACTGACTAAAAACCACCCCGTTCCTTCTCCTGCACGTCGAGCCGGAGCCCCGGTTACCCGTTAGGTTCTCCGCGACTCACGTTAGTATTGGGTTGGACTTCAAATCATATTAACTATTCTAATGATATTGTGTACGAGTGATATGGGATCTTTGTTTAAACAAACAAAAAAATGAAAAGTAAATAAATCTTCGATCAATTCTTTGTATAAAATAATGTATGCGTAAATGAACATTTCTCACTTATTTGCAATAAGCATAAACCAGTTAAACCTGTAGAATTATTTAATGCTACATTTTTTATGTTTGACGGGCCGTTTTTGTTAACATTTATTAATATTTATGACGCCTGTCATTTATTTGAAAACTTGAAACCTGGACTTAATACTTCTTTGTATGACACGCGGTTACATTGTACCTCTATTTCCTAAAGACTAAAAGAGAAAGTTTTTTACACACGACCACATTTACATATTGCCTGTAACATGGGGGCTGTGAACGGCGCCAGATGACCAATATCACCATATCGTCTATTATATTTTTTTTCTATGAAAATTCTAGCCACCACATGCCAGTGGCTTTATCTGCGTCTCTGTGGGACAAAAACGGACTTATGTGTTATTCTTTGCTCCAAATTTCATTTCGATCCTTGCAGCCGTTTTGACGTGAGGGCAACAAACATACATACAAACTTTCTCATTTATAATATTAGTAGGATCAGTAGGCTGCATTTGATGTTGTATAAACAACTGATTAATGAATATGATAAATTATACATAAATACACTTAGTAAAGCCTCCAGATATTTAAACAGAATACACAGACACTAGGTCAACAGCACATTTCCTATATGAAGAGTACATCTTAGAAAACATATTCGTTCCGGGTTTGAGCGTTATATTAGTGCGTTTTTAAACGCAGCCACGACACGATACACGAGACAGCCCTAGTATTGAGCTAGGTTTATTGAAAAAAAAACACAAAATAATATTTCGTGTACATCACCATTATACATATTGACCGTACGGTTGACTGTGGGGGCTGTGAACTGGTCGCCGCACAACGTTTAGAAGGTTTGATTCTTGCACGAAACAAATCTTTGAGTAAAATGTAAATGAAATTGTATTTTAGCACATAGGCTTCTACGCGTCAAACGTTGTGATCTACAACTTGTTCATCCCGGTTTTAGCGACATGTGTATGTAGAATTGTTTGTTTGTAAATGCACCGACGACATAATGTAAAAAAAAATAAAGACCTCTCTTTTCTTAGATCCAATAAATCCTGTGACAAAAATACACAATATCAATATTTCCTTTACTTAATGGGGAGCGACTTAAAGATCCCCTAAAGTGTTTCCTAAAGTAGTGGATACGCTTCACGCTCTATTTTATTTTAGTGTGGGAAGCGAAATATTTTATGACATCCCTAATAGGCTATTTAATGTCCTCTCTGTAAGAGGAATGTTCCCCAGTGAGCCTAGGGGGTAGATCGCTTAGTATGGCCTGATTCAGATATTTCAGACAATTTGTTATTTGGTTTGGTGCTAAATCCAAAAGAATCTGTATAACTAAAAATGACGTGTGAAATATACGACATATCACATACATATAAGAATATGCCTGCTATTACCTGAAATTATAGAAAAGTGGTGCTGCTGTATTGACTTTGTTAGTTGACTGCCTCGTTGGCCGAGTGGTCGCAAATGCGACTGTCAGGCAAGGGGTCTAGGGTTCGATCCCCGGATTGGGTAAAGTATTACTGGGTTTTTTGGTAGTAGCACGGAGTCTGGAATTTTATGAAGTACTTGATAAAAGGTGCTCATAAAGTGTTCTCCAGTCTCAATGTATCGAACTAAAGCGACGGCCATCCTGATCACTTAACGTTAAACTAAGTTATTTACATATAAATATTACATGTATAAAGATAACTTAATCGACGCTCCTACTTAAGTGAAATGATTTAAAATTGGACTTAAGTCTATAATATTATCACATGAACACGAGGTAATGCATAAAATGTTGTTTATTCAACTACTACATTATAATTTATATCGGAACAGATCAAGGTCAAAATTAAAAGCAGTAAAATTAAAAAAACTAAAAGCGTTTTTACCTAAAGTTGTCAGGCAGGTAGGTAACCTAAGACATATATGTATTTTATAATCAACATAATAATTGAATATAGTTTCTATCGCAAAATATTAATAATATTGCACAATAATTGTCTTTATCACTAGTTATAATGCATCCAGTCAAGTTCTTGACCCTGAGATAATACATGATCTGACGCTTGAATACACACGTCACTTAATGTATGTTATGGCCCGCGTTCCCGTTGCCGTTGGGTAAAAAGTAGCCTAGGTGTAATTCACTTCCTGCGTGGGCTAAGCACAGCCGTGTCCTCAGGGATTTGATCGGCGACGGCGACCTCTCGTGTCCGGCTCTGGTTCAGACCATGATACGGAGCGAGGGGGACTGGGATGCCGTCTCCTCCTTTTGCGAAGCAGTCATGCTAGCTAAGGAGGAGGCGGCATCCTACTCACGCTCCGGCCATCGCGAGAAACATTCTGGGCGTCGGGGGTCGCGAGACAATCTCCGGCCACCGGAAGCACGGGCCTGCGGACAGCGAGCACGGGTGCCTCGCAGCCCGACCAGAACCAGACTCGAGCGTACGGAGAGTCGCGTTCCGCGCGCGCCCCAAGGAGCTATCAGACCACCACGGATGGGGCCCAGCAGGTCTAATGCCGATACGGAGCCGCGGAAGACTTAACGGGTTGCCCGGGCTCCGGCTCGAAGTGCAGGAGTAGGAACGGGGTGGTTTTTAGTCATTAAGAGTCTGACACTCCCTCTCGCCTCACCTGGGCGGGAGAAGTAATTGGATGATTTTCCCCACTCAAAAAAAAAAGTATCAAATTCATTTATGGTGTGATTTTTATATGTGGACGCTGGAAAGTGATACATTTACTTAGTCAAGTTTTCTTTATTTGACCATACAGGACAAAACCGTAGGTTTAGCTAGTAAATATGTGTATAACACGCCAATGTTAATCAGTGTTCCCGAATGAATTACTGATATTAAAACAGTTGTAATGAAAACAAACTGAGGTTTGCATTGAAGTTTGCGCGGACATTAAAGCAGCGGTTTTAAAAATGTTACTAGTAGACTCCTATGTGTCATCTGTCGATATATTGGATCATATTATGTTTGTTATACCATAACACACAGGATTAAGAATTATGAAAGTTATTAGTAACAAAATCATTATTCAAAAACCTCATTCATTTCCTTACAAAAAAAATGTTTTAAAAAACCTTACAAAAAAGTTTAAAAAATGTAGAAGTAGGTACTTAATCAATCGAATTAGGATTTTGGAAAAATTGCGAAAATGCATGAATTGAAAATAACGTTTTATTTTTATTCACCGTTTTAATGGCCACAGCTTAACACAACAGCTCCAGCTGGGGGCTGTGTACAAAATATTTACAGTGTAAACAATAAAGTATTCGTTATTCGTTTAAATGTCAAAGTTGATATTCACCTACGTTGCTAACTAGGCTATTGTACTAAGATAAAATTAATATAAATACATTAATAAAAAATTTGTACGTATTTATGTAAATATTCGTCGCTTTTCAAGAGGTACACCGAGGTAGGTGTTCTGGAAACCTAATGTTTAAGGTTTATACAAATCATTTTAATTTGCTTGCGGGTTTTTCGGAGAATACTGCTTATGATGACAAAACAATGTTTTCGTTGTGTTTCGTCGTGTGAGTGAGGTTACCGGAGGCCTAATTACTCCCTCCTCAATCTCTCCAATCATCAAATCCCAACAATCCTCAAAATTCTAACCCCCACAAGGCTGGCAACGTAACGCCTTTGTTAATGGGCGGCGCCGATTGCTTATTATCAGGTGACCCGTCTGTTTCTTTATCAGCTTATACTTACCATATAAAAATATGTCTTTGTAACGAAACATAATTATTTTCGATAATGAAACGTCTCCACTAAAACGCTGTCCTCTTAAAAGGCTGAAATTAAAGTAAATAATGCATTTTACAATGTAAACACCATGTTCGTTTGCTTCAATATAGAAAGAATACAACAACATAATAAAAGATATTTTAAATGATATTTAAGTAATAATAATATTACCGCATGTAAGTCTCCACTTACATCAGAAATAAATACAAGTTGCCAGTATTAAGATATATGTAATTACATTACTTTTCAGTTTAATAGCCATTAATACAATACACAAAAAATCGGAGTTAAAGTTCCCCATTGAAGGTCCCGTAGGTATATAATTTCCTTTTTTAGTTTTAAAATAATGATACTCGCTTTCATCACGAATACATTAAAAATAAGACATGTTAGCTTATGTGAAAACACTTCTTGTTGTTTTGTGCAAAAGGATATTTTTTATGAATTATCATTTTTAAGTAGGAAACCGACGTGAAGCAACGCTTGCGTTGTGTTTCGTCGTATGAGTGAAGTTACCGGAGGCCCAATTACCCTCCCTTTTCCCAATCTCCCCATTCCCTGAATCCCCAACGATCCTCAAACTCCTAATCCCCAAAAGGCCGGTAACGCACTTGTAACGTCTCTGGTGTTCCGGGTGTCCATGGGCAACGCCGAATGCTTACCATCAGGTGATCCGTCTGCTAGTTTACCGGCTTATGTCATAAAAAAAGGTATAAATCTCTATTTTCATTATAATAACACAATTTATATCATAGTAGATATTTAATTATGGTATTGAAAAAGATTTTATTTCCTTAAGATTATCTAAAAACGTATTTTTCGATACAAATATAAATAGGTGCATCATTTGGCTGCCCTTCGTTTTGAAGGGTATTAAGATCAGATGAACAAACCCATAAAATAGGCAATAAAAGTTCCAATTATTTCATCTTGTAATAAGGGACCCTAAAATATAATGAATGGCAGTAATGCGTTAAGGTGGCAGTCAGGTAAATATTCGCGAAATAAACAGTGGGCGGGTACAAACGGGGCGACATAACAAACCGTGCGCCTGCGTCGATCGCACTTCATAATAATATAGTTAACCAACTATTATTAACAAAACTAGTGATGATAATAATAATAAATAACTCAAATATTTTTTGAAGTGAAATTATAAACTTAAACTTAAAATGGATAAGTACACTTATGAAGCTGCTCCAGTCAACAATAGTGATAGTGAAGTGTTGAGTAATACAATTAAATGGAAACCATTTTTGAAACAGGTTCGTTTTACAATATTTATTAACCCATTTGGGACCAAATGCAAACTACACATAATTTAATAAAAAAAACTTTATTAACTCAATGATATGACGCCCACAAACTAATATTAGCAAAAAAAAATTAAAAAAAATATATTTAGAAGTAATAAAAAAAATGCCGTCCTTGATTGGGGACAATGGGCTCATGTGTAGTACTTTTCGAAGCAGTAACTGTTTTCGACACATAAGGTTCTAACGCATTATTTTTCATTGATATCACGGTTTTATTATGACGAACTGCGTGTCGTAACAGATATTAACTAAATCTCTGCGGAAAATGTCTAAATCAATTTGATGTGACGCGCCTATAATTTTTTTGAGGGTAAAAATCATGCATTGCGTTTTCCACATGGGGGATTCTTACTGGCTAAAAACCAACACGTTCCTAATTCTGCTTCAAGCCGAAGCCCCGGTGACCCACTAGGTTATTCATAGTAGTCGGGCATCTGTCCCGCTGAGCCATCTCGATCTAAGGCGGTCTGATCTGCACTTTGAAGCACGCGCATAACGCCACGCGCCTTACAGGTACAGGTTTGGTTCTGGGCGGCGATCTGTTCTTGCTACTATGACTGCTTCGCAGAAAAAGATGTTTTCCAGTTCCCCTCGCTCCGCACCACAGCCAGAACCTAAGCTGGACGTGGAAGATTATCGTCGTCGATCACTTCCCTGAAGACACGGCGGTGGTCAACATATACAGGGCATAATGCTACTCTATCCTCTGGGTGGACTTCGCTGTGACGACACCAGAATACAGCTGGAGGAAATGCCCCCTACTGCTGAATTCTGATATCGGATGCGACGCCTGGTACTGTAGGTGTACTTTTGCATATTCTGTCTTGATGCCCACCAGATTTTAGAATATGAACGCGTAAAGATATGGCGGAATTGGTGATGCTCTTCGTGAATTAGCGTCTGTTGTCACCAAGTATTAGCTATAACTAAGTTTAGCCTATAGGTGACCTTTATAAATTGGAAAACAAAATACAAATCAGGTATAAATGTTTTAAAAATATACTACAGATGTGCCCATTGTCCCCATAAGGGGACACCATCATTTTTTCTAACTTTGCCCTAAGCGGAATTGAAAGTATAAGGATATTCTTCAATATTGTTTTAATTGACACTATAAGCAAGCAATAATCACAAAAAAGTTTTATAAATCTTCATAATAACGTACTACAAAAGGCCTCTGCTTTCGATAATAATTCCCATTTCACTTCCTCTTGATAAAATTGACAATATGACCCCTTTTTTGTAGCAATTTGTCAAAAGTTCTAATAATTTTAGGAAAGTACACTACTCCTCATTATAAATACCCATGAAATGTGAAGATAGCTAAATTAATTAATAACCAGCGGGTAAAAGAATACCTGTCCCCATACGGGGACGGCGGATCCAAATGGGTTAACCGACTTCAAAAAAAAAAGGTTCCCTGTTTGTTTGTATGTTTGTGCGCGCTTATCTTACGATTGGCTGAACCAATTCTAATGGTGTTTTTAGAGAAAATTGTTAGTTACACTCAAGTGGAGATTTAAAATAATGAATTAACCAACTTCAAAAAAAGAGGGGATTGAGTCGGGTTTTTGAAACGTAGTATATAAAATAATTATTAGCCTATTATATCATGTGTCAATAGGAGCAAAAAGGTTCTAGAATTGGAGCTGCGTATGGGCAAGCGCAGGACGTTTACCACCTACATGGTGGACGGGCGCCTTGATAAACGTCGCAGGGTGCTGGTCGCTTCTAACTGGGTGATTTGGAAATCATTGTCTTCTACCATGGACGTCTTGTGGTTTTTATGATGATGATAAAACTTGGGAAACCAGGAAATAAATTGATAATTTTTAACTGCACTGTTACTGTAATGGTCGGTTGGATGAATGTTATGCAAAATATCATGTATTAGGTTCTCGGACTGCTTACATACATAACATAACATCATGCCTTTTTATCCCCGAAGGGTTAGGCAGAGGTGCACATTACCTACGGTACTTAATGTCACTGTACAATATAACACCCACTTTTCACTATTTATGTTATGAGTTCCATGTAATAGTGGGTGAACCTATTGCCATATACCAGGCACGGTTTCAGACTCCGTGCTACTACTGAGATTTTTTTTTAAAACTCAATAATACTTTGACCTACCGGGGAATCGAATCCGATTACCCTTGCCCTCGCCTTACTACCATTTGGTCAACGATGCAGTCGGAGTGCTGACGTGATATCTAGTAATTATTGTTGCCTCAGGTTTAACTCTGGCTTTTGTGGCAATCTCGTGTTTGTTAATATAGAAATATGTATAACTCCAGTCTGTACTCGTCCACTGCTGCACATAGGCCACTGAGATCGGTCTTCAGTTCTAACCTCTACCAGCTTACCTTCCGGATGTCGTCACTCCACCTAGCTAGAGGGCGCCCACTACGTTTACCTAGACGCGGTCTCCACTCCAGAGCACATCTAGGTACCCCAACGATCATCGGTTCTTCGAAAAATGTGGCCGAAACACTGCCATTTGAGCTTGCGAATCCTTATTTTTTATTATGTGCATAACATAATGAGGAGAATCCTAATGTAGATAATGTAATATTTTCTAAACTATAACTTGTTTACGTTAGATGTATTTAGTATCTTTTTTAGTGAAGAATTTTATTAAGCCGAATCCAAAATCTTTTTTCAAAAAAATAATAGATGCGTCCATTTTGCAGTACCTACCTATTACCAAGTCTCACAAGATCATTTTAATATTCTAATTTTAATTAAACATAAAATTGATACATGTGTAAATTATGTCAGTCACAATAATAAGCTGCACTATACAAACAAAAACCAGTACACCACATAAATTAAAAATGCAATCTATAAATTACCGACTTGAATATCAAAGGTTAGTATTTCTTTAATCCTTTTTAATCATACCTTCACACTATGAGACAGGATTTATGTTTTAATATAACAAATTACATTATAATTATTGACATAGAATGATAATTGAGTTTGTACGACACTGCATAATGACAAATTACTGCTTCATTTGTTCAGTGGCCGCACGACTGTCAGGCACAAATTGCAGATTCAATAGATTCTCGTGTTAAACTTAACGAAATATTATGACTTAGGTATAATAGGTAATACGCGTGCTTTGAAAATAGCTACGTGATTATAATTGCTTCTATCATAATAGAAGAATACTATGTGTTGATAAAAACAAAATATCCATTCTTATAGCTCTAGCTGATGGCCACTCCGCTACTATGTTACATGACTTCCTCAGTAGGGAATCAGTAAATGTCTACTAAAAATAAGTAGGTACCTACAGCTTTAATTAGTCGAACTTAGATCTGAGTCTAACTGCATTTATGTAACTTATTACGATAGCATTTTATTTGTCGGTCTGACTGCCTGTAACAAATCAAAAAAGAGTTCTACAAAAGAACAAGTATTTGTGTTGATTGCATATTGCGCACTCCGTCTAGGTTTTCCACCCAAAATCACTATAATCTTTTGACTTTGACTTACTAAAATCTTTTGAAATAACTCAGATAAATTTCTAAAAACAATGTGGAAAAATATTCTCAATCGTTCTTTGTAATTAAATATCTAATGTTATAGCATAATAATAAGCATGTGAGCAGGTACTATATTCGAGTCTAATTAAATAGACAAAAAAATGAAGTGATTTATTTTCGCAATGACTGTGGACAGTGACCTTTGTCTTTTAATTATCTTATAATGCGTCATTGTCATTAATGTAATGTGATGATATTTTTAAAATATATATAATATACTTACAGTTACATAGCTACAATTAGAAAAAACCCAAAATTTTGAAAAGTTATACAAAATAAAACATAATTTAGATTAAACTGAGTTTTAGGATCAAACGATAAAACGAAACAATACATTATATAATAAATTTAGTTTATTTAGGCTATTAAATTTATTCATTACGATTTCACTACATAATAATAAAATATTTACGCATATTTTAGTAACCATATAAAAATGAAAAGTTTTATGTCTGTTAATATTTTTACTTTTAAAACAACAAAGATCTATCGTATCAACAATTTCTTGCAGTAAAAAACTGTGTTAATAATAATAATTTATAAATGCAGTTATTAATGTTGATAGTTTACCAATTATTACTCTGATTAACTGGTATACATATCTAGCACTTATTTAATCTGTCACAAAATAATTATTTAAATAAAATGAACGCCAGAGATACCTATAAGACTATTTGATAAGACTTTTTGCGTTGGTATTTCAATATTATTGTCTTGTGCATACATCAATTAATATTTTCTTTTCATATTCATTTTTCATTGCATCAGTATTCCTTACAGTGCAACTGCTGCGAAATGGCCTCCTTAAAATTTATACGAAAACGGGATATTGAGGAGACAAGATAAAAGGTCATGTGTGAAAACACGTGTTACTCAAAAATGTACAATAGGTATTTGTTTATTTCTAGTTGCTGATTTGCAGCGGAGTATGGACGTCAATGTTTCTGTATGGACTGTGCGTGGGTGCACCCACAATGTTCATCCCCCAGATTAGGCAGGAAGCAAACAATACTGACATCATCTCAGATGACATGGCTTCTTGGCTGAGTAAGTTCATTCTCTTCTTTTCAGAACATCTCCTCAAAACCTACACCCTACCTATACCAGCAACGCATTTATAACTCCTCTGATGTTGTGGTTGTGCATGGTCTCTTTGTTGTCCGCCCTATACCATAATAAAAACTACACAAATATTCTAATAAATATTTTTTTCATAAACTTACAGTGTATCACTTTATAGTTGCCGCCCAAGCGATTACATTAATAACTTTATCGATTTCAAGCATGACCTGTATGTTAATCGCGGTAGAACATTGACATTCAGCGTCCGATCCCTCATTGTAACTTTATAATTTCATTGGAAACTTATTTATAAAATGAAATATTCCAGCGTCCGTGTACGGCTTCAGCGGCTTCCCGTTTGTCTTCATTCTCTCATTACTCACCAAGTTCGTCGGCAGGAGGATACCCTTCATGATCGCAGTCCTAGATACACTGGCTGCCTTCACTGTCCTGTACTGCAGCACAAACATCACACACATATTGATCAGTGAAATTATGCAAGGATTGTTCAGTGCGTCACAAATCGTCATCACAATTATGATTCTCACAGAGTACACTTCACCAAAATACAGAGGCATGTTTCTAACAGTCAAGACAGCCACTTTCTATTGGGGTATTTGGGCTTCAAATGCAATTGGCACCTTCTTCCATTGGAGGAAGATTCCTTTGTTTGGAATTATATGTTCCCTTTACACTATTTTGACCGTTATGATCTGGCCGGAGTCTCCATACTGGTTGGCCAGCAGAGGTCGATTCAAAGAATGTGCCGCCTCACACAGATCACTAAAAGGTTGCGATGAAGAATCTGAGAAGGAACTAGAAGTACTTATCAATTCCCAAAAGGAATACATAGCCAGTTGTGGAGTTGATGACATGACTGCTTGTGAACGTATCATTGATTTCTTTAAAACATTAAAATCTAAGGAATTTTATAAACCAACCTTGCTGTCTATTATAACTGGATGCTTAGGAGTTTTTAGTGGGAAGTTAGTATTTGCAGTGTATGCTATTGATATTTTGAAAAAAATCACAAATAGTGAGTCGATGGCGTACACCGCCATGTTAGTTCTAGATGGCTTCACAGTGTTCAGTATGTATGCTGGTTGCATTTTAATGAAACATTTGAAACGACGTACTTTGTTACTAGTAGCGTCTAGTATTGGAGTCTTTTTTCTTTTTACCTTATCATTGTACTTATATTTAATTTCTTTAAATGTTATTTCGGACAACAATTATGTTTCAGTGTCCTTACTTGTCGCCTTCTCGATAGCTGTAAGTTGTGGTCCTATGATCATGTCTATATCAGTATATGGAGAATTGATTCCAGTCAGATCGAGGAATCTATCAGTATGTTTAATGGCTTTAGCTGGTAAACTAGTAACAGGACTAACATTAAAAATATCTCCTTTAATATTCAGAAAATTTGGACTACATGGAGCATTCCTTACATTTGGATTGTTTTCATTAGCAATAATTATAATTTTGTACAAATATTTACCAGAAACGAAAGATAAGACGTTACAAGAGATTTCAGATAGTATGAATAGAAGTAAAAAACAGGCAACTGTAAAACTGTTACCAATTAATAACACATGAAGATTATTTTATACTTAACATTCAAACTATTATAGGAGGGTTGTACGTATTATAAAGTATCTTATTTTTTAAGAGTTTTAATGTAAGATTATTTTGTTATTTTCCTAACCTTATATAAAACGCCTATTACAATAATTGTAGATATTAAAATAAAACGAAGTAAAACACGGTTTCTTTTATTTTTATATACCTGTAACTGTCTATATTAATATCTCATGACATCATACATTTTATTCCCGAAGGGGTGGACAGAAGTGCACATTACGGTACTTGATGCTACCACACAATGTAACATCTCCTTTCCACTATTTATGTTATGAGTCCCATGCAATAGGGTGTGAGCCTATTGCCATATACCGGACACATGTTCAGTCTTCGTGCTACGAATGAGATTTATTTTTAAAACCCATAAATTCCGTTAAGTCGCACTTACGACCACTCAGCCAACGAATCAGTCAATATATTAATATAATACTATTATAATATACCTAAATATATTTACATCCGATTTTTAAGCATATTTGATACCTTTAGTTAGTAGTTAATTTGTGTTCGTGAATAGCTTTTTCAATAGTAATAATTTACATTAATTTTATTTTCAAATTAATTAAATGAATCGTTAAATAAAATTTTCCAATATGGTTATACTCTATGTGAAGTATTCTATATGAACAATAACGATGAAGAAACGCTTGGTGTAAAAATTTTAAGCGAATGACAAAATATTAGTTAAAAATAAACTCAACATACATCATCAACAGCCTAGGCCACTGCTGACCTCTTATCACACGGAGAAGGTTTGAGCATTAATCACCACGCTTGGTCAATGCGGGTTGGCGATTTCAAACTTCACGATGTATTGCGTTCCAAATGAACGCAATGGTAAGAAATCATGAAAAATATTTAAATAAACGATAATTTTCAAATGACATCAGTAATAGTGAATGATAAATCTTATTTTTGAATAATGACATAAAAAAATACTAGATGTGACCATAACTCATCTACTTAGACTTATTTAAATAAAAAAATGATTTGCGAATTTTACAGTAAACAAGCACTTTCTTATAAATTTGTTGGTTTTTTGTTATATTTATTTAAATTTAACTTCTTCATTAAAAAAATACAGTGAATGGAGGACTTTATACCTTAAGGCATTCTATAACAGTCAACCATAGGGAAGTGCAGGGAAAAGAAGTGGTTGATGCGAAGCCAGAACACAATTTTAAAACATAAAGAATGTAGTTAACTTACTCGTTAAATAACATGTAAACTACAGATATGAGAATCTAACGGGTAACGGGGGCTCCGGCTCGACGTGCAGGAGAAGGAACGGGGTGGTTTTTAGTCAGTAAGAGTCTGACACTCCCTCCCGCCTCACCCAGGCGGGAGCAGACATTCGATGATTTTCCCGCCTTAAAAAAAAACTACAGATATAAATACTAATACAATTATTTAAAAACATTATAAACATACATAGTCCATTGTATACTATATACTATAATATATTTATGCTGCCAATCGAATACTTAAACCAAATTCCTACCTACATAAATATTACAATTCATTATTATAGATTTTAGTATCTAATTTTAATGAATTAGTGATTGTAAGTTCATTTTCGAGTATAAGCATAGCAGGCGACGCACTTTTTCATTTGTGTAACGGGTGTACACAGGCGGAGCTGTTTGCTTGGTTATCATAAAGGTGACCTATGTGCTCGTTTAGTAGCCAGGACTCCGGCTCGAAGAGCAGAAATAGGAAACGGGGTGGTTTTTCTTCAGTAAGCGTCTGACACTTCCTCTCATATCACCTTAAGTGGGAGAAGACATAGAATGATTTTCACTCCTCAAAAAACAGCTATTCGTTTGTTAACAAAACGTTTTTGCAATAGTGACATTAATTTTTTCTTTTAAAATTTTTATTTATGTGTATTCATGAAATAACATTCTGACAGCAATAAATGGCTTCAGCACATTGACATCATGGAAAATCTGAATAAATTGTATCTTGTCTAGTTTTTGTTGCTCAATGAGAAATCGATACCTATTAGGTATGATTTTTTACTTATTTTATGCAAAAGAAAAATAAAAAGACAGTCTAAAAACATATATTTTATGATTAAATCTCAGATGGGAATAGGGAAACTAATCTCGGTCGCTTGCCCTTGGGAACTTGGGAGAATCTGTGTGTTGAGCGTTTTTGTGGAGAGACACTTTATCCTTTCCATGTCAAGGCCGCATGATCAATTAGCTGCTTATAATTAATTACTTGGCTACAACACAAGTTTTCTATCATTGGTACTCGAACTCGAAGCGAAATTAGACTCATTATAGACTAGTTTTAGGCTTTATAGAGAAATAGACAAGTAATGAAAATTGAGTGTTACATCTAAATTTGACAACACGGTTGATGTAGTGGTTGAGCAACCGGCTGCCGCGCAACGTGTCGAGGGTTCGATTTCCGCACGGAGCAACTGTTTGTGTGATCCATAAATTGTTGTTCCGGGTCTGGGTGTCATGTATGCGTGACCTTGGATGTTTGTAAACGCACCCACGACACAGGAGAAAATCCTAGTGTGGGGCAACGATTTCAAAAAAAAAATATACAAATTTAAATAATCATGAACATACGATCAAATGTGTCATGTTTTTTTTTATAATCTTTCAATAGTTTCTCACATAATTATAAAGTCAAACTAGTATACTCAAATCATTTAAACCATAATCATATTATAATATTTATCTAAAAATAATTTTATTGTTATCTTTACTTAGAAATCTAAATAAATAAATGTTGTACCATAAATCAATTCCAATTAATCAGTTTTAACCAGTTTAGAGAACATTATTATTTAACTTGATATTCGTTGAAATAGTTATTAATAGCATTATTTCCGAATTAATGTTACTAAATAAACATACTACTTTACTATTAAACAAACTGAACATTGTGTACTGACAAGGGGAATCAATGTTTTTACTTAGATAGTAGAATTATAACTATGATGATGAATGGACTAGTGAAATGTTAAAATTAGATACAACTTTGTTTAGGCTCATTTTGTCCACGAAACATTGAATTCAAACAAAAAACGTAAACAAATAAGGTAAGACGACAAAGTTCGGGAGTTCGTCGCACTCTCAGGCGGCACTTAGGGAAGTTTGCAAAAGTCGTAATTACATTATCAAAGTGATTCAAGTTACAGAATCTTGTCGTACGGGAGTTTGGAAATACGCAGCCGTTTTTGTTACACGTCATGCGAGCGTCCAATATATTGATTGTACTCTATTGTGGAGACTATTTCTGTGTTTTAGGATATTTCTATTTTGGGATAGGTATGTATATACATAGAATATAAAAAAGATGTTTTTTTTGTTATAAAGCTTTCACTGTATGTAATTTAAAATAGGTAATATGGGTCTGCACACCAACACACTAAAAGTCCACTATTGACGCGGTCGCTGGGCAACCGGCTTTTTTTTAAGGGGGTAAAATCATCGAATGACTGCTCCCGCCTGGGTGAGGCGGGAGGGAGTGTCAGACTCTTACTGACTAAAAACCACCCCGTTCCTTCTCCTGCACGTCGAGTCGGAGCCCCGGTTACCCGTTAGGTTCTCCGCGACTCCGAATCGGCATCGGCCGTATTGGGCCCCATCTGTGGTGGTCTGATTGGCTCTTTGAAGCGCGCGCGGAACGCGACGCGCCGTACGCTCGATGGGCAACCGGCTACCGTGCAATGTGTAGCGGGTTCGATACTTTCCATCGTCTCTTAGTTTGATCCACAAATTGTGTTGTGTTGGGTTGAACCCAATCCGGTTGGGTTGGGTTATGTATTTAATTTATTGCGTGTTTGTAAACGGACCCACGATACAGCAAAAAATCTTAGTGTGTGGTAAATTATAAGTAATTTCACAAGAAACCTTGTTTATTTATAAACAATTGTGTCATACAAAGACACCGGTATCTTTAAGTTCATCTCGAAAACATAAGACTAACAAAATGTTGTAATCAGTCACAGATATAACTATTTTAAATACAATACGATTCAGGTAATTTTAGGTACTTATTAACATAAATATATTATTGTGTATTTCTTCCTTAATCATGTTGATTCACACAAGTTTGCAATTACCGCAATCAGTAAATTTGATTTGCATTGTTTTAAAAATACTGAAATACTGTAAATCATTTTCATTTACGTAATTCAAAACAAAAAGTAATAATAGCTACCTACTTACTTACTTACGTAAAAGTTTTGAAATAGAAATATATAAGTAGCACCTAAGTACACTACATTTTTTTTGTAAAATAGAATGGATTTAAAATTATGATAGTTGTTAATCAAAACAAAATGTTGATATGAAACTACGCTATGGAATGGTAGTTTCATAGATTTTGAAAAGTCAAATATATGAGATATAAAATGCAATGATTTTATCTTTATTATTAATAACCTTATCAAAAACTCAATACTGCATATTTTGCAATCCTAGCATCTACTCTATCTACTTCATAAAAGGTCCGGTACAAAATATGTTCTACAAAAAATATAAAGAGAAGTAACAAAAGGCAGGTTCAACAATGATCCTTGAGAGATTAAAATTTCTAAAAATAGGAAGTATTAGCCGAGGTTTGATACAAGGGCAGTTCGGAATGGATCACACGTCACAGTGCATGTAGCAGCTAGATTTATAACACGACCTCCGCGCCAAACGAGGATCCAATACCGGCCGACATTAGGCCCGAGTAGGGATACCATATTATAGACAGTATTAGCAACTTTTACGAGAAAATAATATATAGTATCCTATTTAAATGTTTGTTATAAGTTGATAACTCAATCGCAGATTAATCTTAAATATATAAGCCATAACAGAAAACACAATAATATATTGTCTCGCATAGATATGCGTTCCATTAGCCCATAATACCATGGGTTAAGTACCAATCTTACATTTTTTATAGTATAGAAAGACTAACGAGGTGTTGAGACGAAGCACGTGATGGTAGGAAATCAGCGCCGCTCATGGACACAGAATACAATATTACAAGCACGTGGATCCAAGCACATGAAGACTCCAGTTGAGCTCGGATCATAACACATTACATTAAAAATAAACTCACATATAAACAACATATAAATAAATAAATAAATAAATAAACTTGACTAGTTTAAACATTACGTAACATACCATAACATCACGACATTTATCCCCGAAGGGGTAGGCATAGGTGCACATTATGCCACTGTATAATGTAACACCCACTTTTCGCTATTTATGTTACGAGTTCCATGTAATAGGGGGTGAGCCTATTGCCATATAGGTACCGGGCACAATTCCAGACTCCGTGCTACTACTGAGAATTTTTTAAAACTAAGTAATACTTTGCCCGACTCGGGAATCGAACCCGAGACCCCTTGTCCGGCAGTCGCACTTGCGACCACTCGGCCAACGAGGCAGCCTAGTTTAAAATAACCAGTTATTTGAACTGTCTCATAATTAGATTATCTGAACCATATCCAGAATCTGAATCACCTTTAAATGAGAATATCTTGTATGTATATATATTGTATCAACGGTCTCGCAAACGACACCAAGTATTTTTTTAAAATTTTGTATTAACTTGTCGAGTACCGTCATTATAGACACAATTAAAGAACAATAGGTTGCGGTCACCGGTGACCGCTTGGTGTTTGACAGTTTAAGGAGGTTTCGGGGACGATAAAACGGTCTTGCTAGGTATTAGTTAGTTATATTAGTAAATGTCGTTTACTATAAAAAAAACACCGAGTAAAACGTCATCCAAGTACGTAAGTATATATATTCTAATCTATCTTTATTTATTAAGTTATTTACTTTATTAAGTTAGATTAGAATATAATATGAATTTATGGGCGATTTCTAACTCAAAAGTGGAAAACTAAGTCAGGTTTCATAAAAACATAATGTTTATTATTTAACAGCTAATACAGTATAAAAGTTCTTTAGTGAATGTTTTTTTTTATTTATTTGATTTAGACCCCTCTTTAGTCTGGTGATAAGTGATAATGCGGTCTACGGTGGAGCATGTCGTCCCATAAGAAACCATAGCATGTTACTATAATAACTATCGTGAGATATGCTGAATAAACTAAAAATTACGACTTACTCACTCACGTAAATATACTGAGAAAAGCTCTACTGGTTTCGAGTCACATAGGGAGTTTCCCTCATGAGCAGCGTACGCGGTCGCGACAACGTCTGAAACTATATAGCCCATGTTACTTTATAATATGAATCTTATTTGTTTATCATAAAATGTACCTCTCTACTAATATTACGTATAGAATTCCGAAATGTCCTAAATCTACATAATTAGGCTATATCGAATGCCGGTTTCGCTCACACCTTATAAAATTGATTTACAATAACGACTTATCTGTTATTAATACAATAAAATATAATATATTTGTATTCAAATAGTTTCTTAACATAACTCATTAATATAGATTAGGTAGTTAGTTTAGTATAATTAATTCAGTATCCAAGATTTATTGCTTGTTATGTTATAAAAAAATTTAGATTATGTATATGTAATATAAGAATTAAATATATAATTTTCATTGTTGTTTTTGATTTTTTTAGTCTCATTTTAATAATGCCTATGGGTAGTTTTAATAATGCGAAATACATTGTTGTTAAAACTACACATGCCTTCGAAAGTAAAGGTTTGTAAATTGGTGTGAAATATTTGTTTTAAAAAAATATATGTTTTTATAATTTAATATCCTCAATCCCCGGATCCCTCATAATCCTTAAATTCCTAATCCCTAAAAAGCTGGTAACGCACTTGTAACATTTCTGGTGTTTTGGGTGTCCATGGGCGGCACCGATTGTAAGCAACGATGACTTATCATCAGGTGATCCGTCAGCTCGTTTACTTGGCTTATTCCATAAAAAAATTTCATAAAATACTTACGAACTTTGTAATCAACATCGTAAACATATAGTCATATTATTTTTCAACATACTTCCATTTACTCAGCTTCTCAAAATTTGTGAATCAGGATAATTATAGTGAACAGGATTTTTTTCAGTGCCTGGCATCGGATGCAGCCTCTAGGCACGGCTATGACCTGATTACCTAGATCGGACGCTGGCCTTGAATGTCCTCACTGCACGGACACGGATGAATGCAACTCTTTTAATGGTGTACCCTGTGTTTGGATAGTGTTAACTATGTTATATAGATTGAGTCTGGAATGTAAATTTGTTGAATGTAAGTAATTGAACTTGATTTCAAAAAAGACTGTAAAGTAAGAAATAAATTAAAATATAACTTAGATAGGTCTTTAATTCTCCAAAGGTTTGGGTGGTGCACATCAGTGCATATACATATAATTATAATGTAACGTGCACCATCCACTATTTAACCAAGTATGTTATAAGTGTCCAATCGGCTCAAATGCACCGTGATATAGTGAAGAATTTTGGAAATTCTCAATTGGTAATGTTTTGTCCTGTAGCAGAATCTTACCTGAGCCTCCTTGCTCACCAGTCGCGCTTCAACCAACGCGGTGTAAAATGCTTCTTCAAAGATCTCATTATTTCAGCAACTTTCAGTGCGACTGTCAAACATGTTGAGTTTAAACATAATTATACAATTTTATTTATTTTATGTAAGTAGGTATGTAGCGGCAACTAGACTTTTTATTAAAAAAATCTTTGAAACAAGTCACGTTCGTGTTGCTTTAAAAATATTTCGACAATTTACGAAGCAAACATGTTACTACTGAGAACTTCAGAATTGAAAACCCCAAGACATTTGTACAGACTTTACACTACTATTCATAACATACTCTTAGTTGGCAGAATCCCTTGGGAAAACCTATCGAAAAAGAAGCATCAGTAGCATACCAAATCACTTTTTCCTAGGCTTCACAAGTAGGCTTGAGAAACCAAATTTGACCTTTGATTCATATGAACTGATGTGCCCTAGTCCTTGAGTGTATGTCAGAGGGCATCACTATAGAATAGACGGTTTGAGAAAAAAAACAGTAGGTTTTTCTTTAATATAGATAAGAACCTATCGACGCTCCCAACCAAGAACTCGGTAATGTGCTATTATCGGGTTTATGCTGTTATGTCAATTTCGGCGCGTATGGACTTGAATACACCTTGACAATTTTTCTCAGATTTTTCCTAATAATAGTTACAAAGATATCATGACGCACATGTTTATTGTTGGGAATTAATACACAATAATATCTCGGCAAAAACATGTTATACATCTGTACGAAAAAACAATTTATATTTTATTTTGGTAAGTTGCGATTACCGGGTTATTGCCGTAAATAATTTTCATGAAGATTTAGGTTGTACGTGTGTACGGGGTTTTTGTTGAATTCATTGTAAAATACGTATTCCGTAATACACACTAACAATGTTATTGAAGATTGGTATTGGCTCATTAATGTACGTAATATTTCAATACGGTTAATTTATTCCAAATTTCAATACACCTAGGTTTGTTCTGGATATTACTGTTTTTGTCCAGCCGCGCAATAGTTTGCAAAGCGCAGTTGTCAATTTTTTTTGGTAGTTGATAGACAGTAATAGATATATGCCACGCCCCCAACAAGTGTTATTGGCCATCGGCTCGGTGCGTAAAGTTTGTTTACGTAAACAGTTGCATTCAGATCTCTGGACTTGCACGCAAATATTTGCACCACGCTCGATATTATTTAAGTTTTTTAGCGATAAACGGATAGGTAGTTTATTAGTAAAGTTATTGAGTGCACAGTGATAATGAGTATTAGAAGAAATAGACCATTAATAAATGAACGTGTGAAACGAATGCTTCAAATGGTTGAGGACACAGTTATTACAAGTAAGTACCTACTTTATCATAGTACCATCACTTATTGATGTTATATATGATTGTGTATTTTGTAACGTTTTTGTTTACTATAAATGATAGGCGCTGATCAAGAGGCAGAATGTCCAGAAATAACTCCGAAGGCATCTACTAGTGCAATGTCTGACGGCCAAACGTTATCAAAAGGTTTATAGATTTTTATTACACCTAATAGCTCACTAGGTGGCTATCTACCTACTAAAGAATAATATGTTGTAGCCGTTGTAGGTATTGTAACAGTTAGGCCGAAGCCGCACTACGGTAAAAACGCGGCGGTTTTTAACCGCGTGAGTTAGTGAATCAGGAAAACGAATACAAAATCAATCGCGGGAAAAAACCGCAAGTGCGGCCGTTTGTATTAGTTTTCCTGACTCACAAAATCACGCAGTTAAAAACCGCCGCGGTTTAACCGTAGTGCGGCCTCGGCCTTACATGGTTGTAACTTTAATAATTCGTAAATTCGTCGTTATGTCGGGTCGTGCTAGCTAAGTCAAGTGTACGATACGATATATGATATTTGTAAGTTCTTTTTCAAAAAGGAGGGGTTTTCAATTATTAAAATGTAGTTTTACACGATACATCAATACCTTTCATTCATCTTAAATGATCAAGAATATATTTCAATTCGGTGTCAGCTAAATCTAACAAATAGATACATAAAATGCAGGGTTATGTACCTATGTGCAAGCTGATAATTTTTGGAGACGGTTTTAGTTTATTGAAAACTTTAATCTTTATCATTTCAGATACAGATTGCGATATTATTGCAGTTGATCCCGAATCTAGTGTAAAAGAAACCTTTTCCAATCAAGTTCTGTCAAAATATGAGTTACGAGGTACGTATTAAATCCTAACCGTAGATAATTTTAATCATCACATTTTTTCTGTGACATTCAAATTTTTATAAGTAAGTAGTATTTTTACATTCCATAGCAAAATAACAAAAAATATGCATATTCCCTATGTTATTGATTACAGACAAAACGAATAAAAAATACTTTGATACTGATCAGGAATCCGATGAAGATTTTTCGCCAGACGTCTCGGAATATGCTCCGAGTCCAAGCTCAAACATATTCAAGAGTCCATTAAGTAGCGTTTCAAGTCTAAGTCCAGATGAAACTTTAGAAATTAATCACAATGAAACATTGACAGGTAGAACCTCAAATGATTGTTCACATGCTAGGGAAGTTGTAACCGACAATGAGGATAGTCCAAGCTTAATACGGAAAATTTGTAGCGAAGAAGAAAACAATGAAACTTTGAGACCAGAAGAGCAGTCAGAAAGTAACAATGACACAACATTGACCGGTAGAACTTCAAGCGATTGCGAGCACATGGAGGCAGTAGAAAACGAAAAAAAAACTGACTAGGAAACGCAAGCAGAATAGAAGTGAGTGGCGTAGTAAAAAAAATAAAATCCTCAAAAATTCCGGGAAAGCCTACGAAGGGTGCAATACTAAAAAAAAATATCCTAAAAAAACTATAGGCTCCCCATGTGCGTGTAAAAAGGGTTGTGGCCAAAAATTCAGTCCGTCAAAAAGACAAGCTATATTTGACAAATTTTATAGTCTGGCTGATCGCGAACATCAATGGTTGTATATCAGTAGATATGTCCAAGCACAAACTATTAAACGAATGACGTTAGACCGTAAAAACAACCGCACACAAACTTTGAATTATTTTTTCCCTAATTCAAATAATGAAAAAATTCCTGTATGTAAAAAATATTTTTTGAATACTTTACAAATCGGAGAATATGTGGTGTATACAGCAATGAAAAAAGTTATGAAAGCAGATGAAGGACTTAAGGATAAACGGGGAAGACATGATAATAGGCCTAACAAAATGAATACTATGACAGAAGCCACTATTAAAACTCACATTGAATTATTTCCTAAAGTACAGTCGCACTATACAAGAGCGACTTCAAACCGAGAATATCTTTCAGAAAACTTAAATGTTTCAAAAATGTTTCGCTTTTATACTGAGTGGTTTACAGAACAAAATCACACTGATGTTGTAATGGCAACAAAACGACAATACGAAACAGTTTTTAACTCCCAATATAACTACTCATTTTTCAAACCAAAAAAGACCAGTGCCTTTCATGCTCCATTTATGAACAATCAGACGACACTATGAAAGCCACCCTTGAGGAAAAACAAAGACTTCATTTACAGAGAAAAGAAAAAGTAAGATCATTAAAAAAAGGAGAAATAGAGACAGCTGACAAATCTAATGTGACAGTAGCAATATTTGACTTGCAAAAAGTGTTGAGTGTGCCTCAATCTGAAGTAGGCGTATTTCATTACAAAAGAAAATATCCATGATACAATTTTACCGTTTTTGATGCAGTACGAAAAATAGGATATTGTTATGTGTGGCACTACCAAATTGCTAAAAGAGGCAGTTCAGAAATAGGAAGTGCTTTGTTATCTTTTTTTAAAACTGAGCGTGAGAAAGGTATAACCAAGTTTTCATTATATTCGGATGGATGTTATGGGCAGAACAAAAATCGTTACATTTTCGCCCTTTATGTATATGCTGCCAAACTTTTTGATATAACCATAACTCATCGTTTTTTTGAAACTGGACATAGTCAAAACGAGGGAGATTCCATGCATGCATGCATAGAAAAAAACTTAAAAAATAAAGTTTTATATACGCCTGACCAAATTTATAGTATTATTTTAAATTCAAAGATTACTGGCGAAAAATATCGTATCAAAGAATTAGAGCAGTCCGAAGTTTACGATTTAAAACCACTCGTAGAAGACAAGTATTGGCAGTGCGATAAAGATGGAAATGTGATCCGCTGGGCTGACGTCATGGAGGTAAGCGTAGTCGATACACAAGCAAATAAGTTGTTTTTCAAATATAATTTTGAAAACTCTTATTCAGAGCTTGATATAAACAACACTCCCTCTACCTCAGCTAGACGACGAGGACGAAAGCGTACGAGTACTCAAGATGCAGCTGTATATATGGATAATGTTCAGTTGCAACGCGCTTACCACCAACGTATACCAATAAGCAAAGCTTTGCATACAGACCTTTTGAGTTTATGTAAAAGTGGAGCTATTCCTCAGAGCTACCATTCTTTTTATCAATCTTTGTCGTGTTCTGAAGCTGTGAACGAAAATATTTCTGAAGAAGAACAGAACTAAATTGAAGAGTTTAAGCTCAAAGTTGATTTTTTAGATTTTTTAATTTGATTTATTGGATTATTTTTATTAATAAATGTCCTTGGTTAATTAAAGTATCCAATTTTATTCTGTGGTTTAATAAATATTACTTAAATAATCGAAATATTTGTATTTTTTCGTAATATTTACCTACTAATATTCAGTTAAAATATTTTTTAAAAATTCGGTATCGAGTGGTAACAATAACACTGTTATTCTAAATTTCCTCGTAATAATAAAGTCATGAATCAATACCGTTTTAAAAATTATTTGAAATTACCACAATAACTCCGTAAAAACACGTTATGTATCAGCCCCACGATAAAAAAAAACCCGTAGAAGTCCATAATATAATGTTATGAAATATTTCATTTGATAAATGTACTGCAATAATCCCGTAAGTACTATTACCATAGTATTTTATGTATAAAATTTTAGGTATTATTTATTTTCCTAAATTACTAGGTATTTAATAAAAGGAATGTCATTTTAATGGCACAGGTATATTCCGCAAAAAAATAGCTTTCATTTAACACATCAATGACTTCAATAGTCCCACTCGTTGAAAAGGTATTTGATAAAATCAGTAAATCTTTTCTCCTGTAAAATTTTGATTTATCGATTACTGGGTTATTGTTTGGAAGCGTCGCTATCTAAAGAGCAATAGTTCTTAATTTTTATAATTATAACTGTCGTGAGACGTACTAAATTAATTATCACTATTTAATAGCGCGAAGTTTCGCTATGTAATGCTCCTTGTGAGTATGAGTCCCCAATGTAGCTCGATACTAGTCGAGGTCCTCGTGAAATAATGAGTGTGTAAACTGTTAAACAGTTATGAATGTACATACATTTTTTTAATTTATTTATTTTTATTGCGAATAACTTAAATCCATTTGGTTAGTAAATAACCAACTATTAAAACTAGTTTTAATTGGTTACGCCACAATAGCATGCAGGTCTTCAGGATGCTTGTAGCTATATTATGGTACTCGACTTCTCTTTGGGTTTGCAACAGTATAATGATTTGTTTTGAAGTCAATATTTTCAGGAAGTAACACATAATGATGTCAAACAACAAAATGACCATAGATAGAGAGACATACGACAGACTGGAAAGTAATAAAATATGTGTTAAATATCGGCCGGCCTCACAATTTAGGTCAAGTGCACGCGGTGACCCAGCAAAACTGATACTCTGATGCATCCGCTACCGTCCATTATAATTTACGTGTGTTTAATGGAGTTAACCACTGCATAATGGAAATATTCACTATATGCTAACCAGGTAACAACTATAGAGGTACAGTATCCATGTATCTACAGTTCAAAGAGGAGACACATCCAAAGATATTCATTTTGGACAAGAAATAACATTGCAATAAAAACTCATGATGAATGCCTTAAAAACTATTTATAGTTAAATAAATACCATTTACTTATATATAATATATTCGATGTAAACTGTCAATAAAACATGTCTTCATAGGTATGTATTGACGTCAAAACAAATCCTATTATAACTTTAAAAAATATGTTTCCAATGACAATATTAATGTTTACCTTTTGTACTTGTCTTCATATCTTAAGCTGTGATCTCAAAAAATAACACGCATATTCTACGGACCTTTTAAATTTATAAATGAATGGGCATTGCAAAATGGTTGGCATCCCAAAATCGCAAGTGGGGTAGAGGCGCGCAACTATTTTAATAAAGACCACTCCGTTCGTAATGCGAGGTTAAAAACATTAGTCAAGTTATAAGCAAAGAGCGATCTTTGAAATATATATTTTTTATGGCATAAGCCGGTAAATGATCAGACGGATCACCTGATGGTAAGCAATCGGCGTCGCCCATGGACACCTGGAACACCAGAGGCGTTACAAGTGCGTTACCGGCTTTTTGGGGATTAGGAGTTTGAGGATCGTTGGGGATTCAGGCATTGGGGAGATTGGGGAAGGGGAGGGTAATTGGGCCTCCGGTAACCTCACTCACATGACAAAACACAACGCAAGCGTTGCTTCACGTCGGTTTTCTGTGAGGCCGTGGTATCACTCCGGTCGAGCCGGCCCATTTGTGCCGAAGCATGGCTCTCCCACACTTAAATTGCTTTAAAAAACGATTACTTTTCACGTTGTCATGTACATTATATACTGCATACCTACATAATGTATACCTTTCCTGAAAGTTAATTGTAAAAGCCTTATCCTTATTATTTACTATTTGCCTACCTGGAAGCAATTCCTTTAGCTAGAAGATTTGGAAAAAATTTCATTATCAAAACCAACTGAGTTGAGTGACCATAATACGGAGATTTTTGATGTGTATTTAGATTTTTTATTTTATGTTTTAATTTTAAATATTCCTTAGTTTTTATTTTATATTTTGGGGCAACATTAAAAAAAAGAAAAAAATCAATTGTCACAAATACTGATAAAAGTGTCATCGTTAGGCTACTGTGCATATTGTGACACCTTAAAATGTTGTGCATTTAAAATTAATTACTATGTAAGTACTTAGATATAAGACCTTAAGTAATGTAACTACTGGTTGTCCAAATTATGAATTAATAGACTGGTCTAATAAATTAGAGGACAATCATAACGACTTAAAACAATTTATGAGCATTCTTTTAGTACTTTACCTAAAGATTCGATATATCGGTAACTTAGGTATTATATATTTCACTACAATCTTTGGTAGACTTCATAATATCAAAATTGCATCAGTCTATCACTTACGCCACGCTACAGAACATCCGGCGAGGCCGATAGCCGCAACAGAGTTTCAATTAGACTTTGATTTTCAAGCAATTTGTCAGGAAATGTATTTTGTTGTGCCTTTTTCAATGTTTCAAGTTTTCATCGAAATATCGGTGTAATTTTTCAAATGATCGAAATTCATTTTTCAGACCATTACTTTATTTATCGGAACCAAAAATGATTTTGGTATTTAATCTTTTAAGAAAACGTATTTATGATGATGGTTGAGAATATTTTATTCGGTTGACTAACGGATACTGTAAGGTTAATACACGAATACTGTAAGGTTGCTCAATTTTAAGTCACGCTTAGGTATGTATAGTTCTGTCGCTATAAATTCTTTGTAAAATGACAGAGATGGCACTATATTTCATTTAACATGCAAGCACAATGTTCGTGAGCTTCTGTTGAAGATGTTGGCTGAATCATCATGCTAACTATCCACTGTTATTAGTAAAAAGTATATATTTATATCGTGGGCCGATCTCCGGGCACCGTAAGCGCCGGCCTGCAGAACCAGACACGAGCGTGCGGCGCGTTGCATTCCGCGCGCGCCTCAAAGAGCCATCAGACCACCACGGATGGGGCCCAAATAGAGCTAATTCGGTTCGCGGAGAACCTAATGGGTTACCGGGGCTCCGGCTCGACGTGCAGGAGAAGGAACAGGGCGGTTTTTAGTCAGTGAGAGTCTGACACTCCCTCCCGCCT